GACTTTTTAAAAACCAAATCTTGTTTTTTCTCAGTAAAACACATCTTGTCTTCAATTATTTTCATATTGCATATTTTTCCTATTATAGTTTTTGTTTTGAAAGTATGGTAAAAACTGGTAAAATGTACCAACAATCACATTTAAAAAATATACACTTTTTGATATACCATTAAAAAAAAAACAGGTATCCCATCTGAATTAAGACATTTAGGCTATCCATTTAATAGTAGCCTACTAAAATCTTATTAACAGTAGAAGTTAAATCTTACTGTAGTCTTCAAATCTGGGTACTGTCTAACGTTTTAAAATCACAAAGGGAGTTTGGTCCCATCAGGCTAACGTGACAGTCACGACTCGTGCAGCTGTAAGGTTTTCTTCTTTTGTTTTTACTCGCAATCTTTACAACACGCATTACATTACGTATTTCATGCTCTCTAGAATCCGAAGCGCCCGCCCCCTACACTATAAAATAGATGCTGGAGCAAAAATAGGTCACTTGTCCACATAATTAGTATTTTCTGTACAGTGAATGGCACGTAGTGCACTATATAGGGGACAGGGAACGATTCAAACAGTGTAAATATGCTTTCTATTGAGGAAAAAAAGAAGTCTGGTTTGCGCTGTGTCACGCTAACCACCGCACCACACACACACTCTGCTCCGGTCCAGAGACACGATAGCACGGAGCGGATCACATGCGCGAGTCAGCGCAGACCACAAAATGTATCGGAGCTATTTGAATTCTACACAGAACGCTATATTTTATAGCAATATGGATGAGATTGTGGCTGGCATACCCTGTCAAATGCGGCTTTACGGAGCTCACGCGGCTCTATCCCAAGCTGTGATATAAACGAACGCTATTGGCTATTTTAAAAAGGGGAGGGGCTGCTTGATATGTCCCGCCCTGTCTTCCTGTTTCAGTTAAAATGACGTCAACACCTGTTTCAGATCAAATGACGTCAACACAGAGTAAATGCTGCGTGTTTCTAAGCATTTCAGGGGACCTTTAACTGAAAAACAAAGCACTGCTTATTTCATTTGTATCTTTGTTCTGTTATTTATCTATGCTTGTAATTTGTTTATTTCCTATGCTGATTTACTCACATACAAAATCACCTTAATCATTGATAATCTTTTTTCCAATTAGTGCTATTGAAGTCATCTGATTTTTTTTTCATATCGCAATATATGTAATCGCAGAAAAAAAAATATCGCAATGTGAGTTTTTTTTCCAATATCGTGCAGCCCTAACCTGTATGAAAACAAACCTGGAAAGAAAATATTATTTGGTGAGAAAATCTAGAGATTCATAGGGCATTTCAATTAGTTACTCAGGGGATATATTATTTATTATTTCAAGAGACCAGGGGCCATATGTATAAAACCGCTCAGAGTAAAATTTTAGTCTTAAGTATGTCAAAATTCTAAGAATGACATAATTTTACTCTTATTCCTAGACTTAAGAATAAGAGTGATTCATAAAGGTTCCTAAGTCTTAAGACTAGGTCTCAGCTTCTAAATGATTTAAAGGGGTCATATGATGCGATTTAAATTTTTCCTTTCTCTTTGGAGTGTTACAAGCTTTTGGTGCATAAAGAAGATCTGTAAAGTTGCGAAGACTAAAGTCTAAAATCCAAAGAGATATTCTTTATAAAAGTTCAGAGTCAGCCATACCTACCTAAAACGGCTCGTTCTAACACGCCCCCCACATATCTACCTCACTATGTGGGAAGATTTGCATAACGCTGCCCAAATGTTCACGCAAAGAAAGAAGGTATGTGAGGGGCGTAACGTTTCTGGCACAAACAGATCATTTCGTGTCTTAGGACATCAATGTGTCGTCACGAGCCGCAGGGTTTAATTTGGATTTGTCTGTGCATGTTTTTTTTACTCGCATAGATTTTGTTACCGTTGCCATGCATTATACGACTGATTAGGGCTGGACAATAATTCAATATCAATATGCATCATGATATAATTTTTTTCAATAACGGTGATATGATTTTTAAACATTTCCGATATTTCGATATACATTACCAGTTTCCCATACGTTGATTTATTTGTGCCGTTTGACTTCATTGAATAAACATGAGCACTGCACATTTCAAAATCATAACACGGCGCTGGTGTTTTATATGAATGTATCTCTGAAGGGAACCGAATGTCTTCAGAAAAGTTTCAATGGCATTTTCATTTGATCTGATAAAGTAGCATTCATGAGCGGAGCTGCTTTGATTACAGCCATTACTAGAGAAGCCGCTAGTTTTATCACTCTAAAAGCGCCTCCTGCTGGCAGAGAATGAGTTTTCATTTTAAATAAGCCCATCTCCAGCAACATTTCCAGTTTTTGTTGTTGTTCAATTGTTTTGTTTTCTGCAGCGACTCGGAGCACTTTTCATACCCTTTTTTCTGGCTGAAGCACATTTGTTTCAATCTATAAGAATAATCAGCCTACACTACCAGTCAAAAGTTTTTGAACAGTAAGATTAAGGTTATTTTTTTTTTTGAATTCTCTTCTGCTCAACAAGGCTGCATTTATTTGATCCAAAGTACAGCAAAAACAGTAAAATGTTGAAATATTATTACTATTTTAAATTGCTTTCTATTTGAATAGATTTAAAAATGTAATTTATTCCTGTGATCATATATAGGTAAATTTTCAGCATCATCACTCCAGTCTTCAGTGTCACGTGATCCTTCAGAAATCATTCTAATATGCTGATTTGCTGATTATCAATATTTAAAACAGTTGACTAAATTTTTTTTCAGGATTCTTTGATGAATAGAAAGATCAGCATTTATCTGAAATAAAAAGCTTTTGTAACATTATACACTATTCCATTCAGTATAATTTTTATAATTTTTTTGGGAAAGAAATTATAGAAATTAATACTTTTATTTAGCAAGGATGCTTAAAATTTATCAAAAGTGATGATAAAGGCATTTTTAATGTTACAAAAGATTTCTATTTCAGATAAATAGTGTTCATATCGATATCGGAATTATATCGTATCGACCGAAATTAAGAAATATATCGTGATATCAATTTAGGCCATATCGTCCAGCCCTACGACTGATAGACTGCAATGGTTGGACGTAAAAATCATCATGTGTGTTCTACTGAAGAAACAAAGTCACCTACATCTTGGATGGTTTCTAGGCGAAAGCAAAAGCACTTTATTTGGCCTTCCAAAAGTAGATGCATTTATGAATCTTTAAGATTACTTACAACAGAACAGCAATGCATTTTATGGACGACCATTTCGTGAACCTAGGAGAGGAGGTAATTCTGACTTTGCTATGACAATCTGGCGCTTCTGAATCAGCTACTATTTTGTTATTAGTTTAAGTATTTGCTATTGACTGTTCAAATGCGAAGTTTTGTGCATTGTGTGTGTGTGTGTGCGTGCGAGCGAGCGCGCGAGAGAGAGAGAGAGAGCGAGACACATCACAGTGGAGTCAGCTGTCTTAACCGTGGCTTGTGTACTGCAAACACATTAATCACTGTGTCTGGCACTGTATAAATTAAGGATTAATCCTTTTTAAAGTTACAAAAGTTATTCAGTCAAGAGCAGTGAGAGATTTCCGTGTTGTTGCTGTTTGATTAACTTTAAGAAAGTGCTGTCACTTTAAGACAACACACTGATCCAGTGCACTGATACTGTACGTTCAGCCAACTATGTCTGCTAGGATACTCACCAAGATGGGCATTTTGACCATTTTTGTGTGAATTTGTCCATTCAAACACAATACTTCACAGAGAGCTTAATATTTGCGCGCATCGCGATGAGCGACCACACAGATCTTCTCACTGCGCGCGCGAGTTCACGTCTTCTGGCTCTTTAATATTTAAACTGGCCAGGCTTAAATGAGTTGAGTTTAAACACAGATAGCAACGTGTGCTGTTCAGGTCTCACCTGCGCTATCAACACGTGATGACGGCATAAATGACAGTTATTCCAACATACAGCACTCGCATTGAACAAAGAGTGACTTTTTTTGTCCACGTATTGTTTTGTTTTCTCTCATCGCTCTTGTTGTGATGTATTGGGAAGCCAGAATTTGTATCCATCAACAGAAACATCCATTAGCCGAAATCTAACAAACCATATTACAGATGCATTGTCAGATTTAAGTTGAACCGTGGTCCTCTGCATGCCGAACCGTGTGTGAAGAACCGTTGCACCCCTAAAATATAAATATATATATACACTATGAAAAATATGCATTTTACTTTTTCTGAAAATGATTCAAATGGAGTCATAAAATGTTAAATTTTCTTGTAAATATTAAAGCACAGTAGCTTTAGTAGTTTTTTTCAATATGAAACAGACATGAACGGTGTACATTTCAGTGAATTTGTCACCTATATTATGATTTTTTTTAAAACAAGTTTTCTTTTTCTGTTGTGGACGCTCTTGGACTCCCTTATTTATAGAAAATGATTTATTAACAGTAAAGAAATTAGTTCTTCGTCAAACCAGATCTCGTTGTTGTAGTTGCTACATAGAGGACATAACCATATGGACACAACACTCAGTCTAACGTGTTTCTGTTATTTGATTCAAATTAACGAAAGGAAAATGTCACAAACAGTACAAAAAGTTATGCTGTTAATGTCTACATTTTAACAGTTACTACTCGAACAAATAATCTATATCTCCATGTGATGTCAGATTTCAATGACCTTGTCAGACCAAATTCCAGGTTAACATCAAGAATAAGAAACATCAGTGCAATATTTAAATTTCTAGAGTTGCACAGTGATTTGCTTACAGAACTGTTTATAACTCGTCTCTTGATCCCCAAAGCTCTTACGCAAGGGAAAGAGATCTAACCTTTAGTGTATCTGAGCTACCAACTAGCTCCCCGGAACTAACAAGGCCAATGACAGTCACTGTGACTATGGAGATCGACTGGTTACTATCCGCGTATTTAAATGTAATGTTTGTCATTCGTAACGCCTGTATAAAATGTAAAAGCCATGCAATACGTACGTAACCAGCTCTAGCAAGAGCTCGATTCACTGCCCCACTGATCCGCCACATTGAGGAAACCATCTTGTCCACAGTGTGCACCACCACCGCTGGCGCTGACTGTCTTTTTCCTCTTCTTTTTGTTTAACGACGGTTAGCAAACCTACAAAGTTCAGTACCGCCACCTATTGTTGGCATGGACTCATGGACCTCTTGGTGGCGCTATACGGTGAGGCTGCAGACCTGGAGCAGGCAGATCCATAGACAGATCCAATAAAATACTGTATTTATTATGTCTATGGGCAGATCTACAAAATAACTTATACTGACAAGAAGGGAAAGCCAATAGAACGTTCCATTGCAACAGCGGCGCCCAGCAACAGCCCTGCGCTTCCGCCATTCTGGAGTGAAAGCGACTCCGCATGTTCACTAGCTTCTTCTCTCCGTATCTTTTCCTGCTTGTAACCCAATTATTATCTGTGCATGTTAAAAAAAGTATTCTTAAGAGAGTCTCAATTGCAAATAGAGAAATTATTATAAGTCAGTTAGCCGATGATACAACCCTTTTTTTTTTAAATAGTGGCCAAATTCCAATTGCAGTTAATCTTATTAATACGTTTTATAGTGCCTCTGGTCTCTATCTCAATATTAGTAAGTGTGCACTAATGGCTGTTAAAGACTGTGATTTAATAGATATTTGTAACATTCCTGTAAAAGATAGTGTAACATACTTAGGAATCATTATTGGTAAAGACCAGCTGAAAAGATGTCCTCTCAATTTTAACCCCATAATTGATAAAACTAAAAGAAAATTCAACTTCTGTCTTCAAAGAGATCTCTCCCTAATTATGTTTTTTCAAATATTGGTGGTCTTAGTTTTGTTTTGATGTGTAATTATAATATAGATAAAATTCCAGCTAAGTTATCTGCCTTCCACAAACAAGTGCTCCTATCTTGGTCATTAATATATAAGCATAATTTTTCACCACATTGCTATTTCATCTGGAATAATAGAAAGATTCTTTACAAACATAAATCTTTTTTTTAAGAACTGGTTTGACAACAATATTAAATTGGTTAGTCAGTTATATAATAAAGAAGGAACACTCCTTTCTTATGATGAATTTCTTTCTTATTGTAAAACGCCAGTTACTCAAAAAGAATTTGCTATTGTTATTGGTTCAATCCCTTCAGGTACTTACATGCTATTTAAAGGTATTGATATAGACCATTCTCCCGATTCAGTGTCTTTTGATGTTAGTAAATCTTATATTGGTCAAATTTGTTTTTCATTAAATCCCAAAAATAATAATAGAGCTATCCGTACTCTTTTCCAAAAAGAAATTGTTACTGTACCTTATGTTTTGTGTCATTGGGTCTCTTTTTTGAACGGAAAATTGATTTGCTGGAGAAAAGTGTGGTTGTTACCACAGAAATATCATCTTAGAAATAAGATTAAAGAAGTTTCTTATAAGCTTATTCATAGATTTTATCCAGCAAATCATTATTTTAAATTTTTTAAAAAAGGAATAAATGTAAATTGTATTTTTTGTAATGAGTATGAGGAAACTGCCTTGCACTTATTTTGGTACTGTACATACTCGGTTACACTATGGTGTAAGGTTCAAAAATGTATTATCGAAAATATTCAGAGTTTAAGACCTTCTTCACTCCTATGGGAAAATGTACTCTTTGATTTTACTGACTATCCTGACCAAGAGGAACAGTACTTTTACGTAATTAATTTACTTATTCTATTGACCAAATTTCACATTCATAAGTGTAAATTTACCAATAAAAAACCCAATTTTATGGTTTTGTTGACTGAAATATTTATATATATTGACAGTATCAGAGACTCTGTGAATAAGAAAGGTGTAAGAACTTTGAAAGTTTGTGAACTTTACAATATATTTATTTGATTTTATATATATACGTACAAGTGTATGTATGTATGTATATCTTGTATTTTTGTTTTGAAGTTTTATACTTTCCTCCCCGTCAATTGTTTTTTGTTTGTTGTCATTTGTCCTTCTATCTTTTTCTTTTCTTATTTTAATGTTGTTTTATTGTGTGTTATTGTTCCTTGAATAATTTTTTTTTTTAAAGTTCACTAGCTTCTTCTTCTTCATTGGAGTTTTACGACAGTTGGCATCCATAGTGTTGCATTACTGTCATCTGCTGTCTCACTTTAACTTACTATATCTTAATTAAATTAGTCCTTCCAGTCCAGTCCTCTTTAGAAAATTAAACAAATATCTCCGTCCTTGGTCATTATTTCCATATGTTACTATATTTTTAACATTATACTCTACTATACCTATTTCCCGTAGCTGATTCTTGAACTCTTGCCTTTCTTGTATATATTTCTTATATGATATAAAGATGTGCTTAATTGATTCCTCCTCCTGACATTCATTGCATAGTCCTGTCGGCTGTTTTCCTATAACATGAAGAGTTTTGTTTAACTTGCAATGTCCAATCAATCCTCAGTCTATTTATTATGACTTGTTCCTTCCTTTTATTTCCCTTCTTACTTTCCATACCTATCATATTTTGTATCATGTACAGATGTCTCCCTTTGATATTATCCCACTGCTGCTGCCATTTTTGCATTATCTTTTTTCACACTAAACTCTTCCCTTCTGTTTTTGATAATTTCATTTTGACGTCAACGTGTTCTTTTTTTTTGTTGCTTCTTTTGCCAGTCTGTCTACTTTCTCATTTCCCTGAATGCCCACATGCGCTGGCACCCACATGTGTGATGTTTTTCCTTGCCTGCTTATTCTTGAGTTTGTAAATAAAATCTCATAAAGTAATTCCTGTTGGTTTCTAGTTACCCCAGACTTTATACTCATGACATGACGGCAGATACAGAATCACTACATATTACAACGTTGTCCCGTCTGGATTGTCCATTCTAATGCTATTAATACAGCATATAACTCGACTGTATACACACTTAGGCTGTCAGATGTTCTTTTGTTTACTCCCACATGATATCTAGGGATATATACAGCAGATCCCGTTGCCTCTTTCACTAGCTTCTTCTTCTTTTTTGGTGTTTATTGGCGGTTGGCAACCTAACTGACTGGTGCATTACCGCCACCGACTGGAATAAAGTATGGATCAGGATTTTGCTTGTATGACCAAATAAACCATAAAAACCAATCAAAACAAATGAATAAACTAGAAATGAAAACAAAACAAATAAATAAAAAAAACAATCAAAAAGACTTTCTTTTATATGAGTCTATTTAACCAAATTATGGTTTCACTAGCTTCTAGCTGTCTATGGCAAATATCAGCACCTTTGTTATTCTTCTTCTTATAGTTTAAAGGCGGTTGGCATCCAGCGTATTGATGCATTACCGCTACCTTCTGCTCCGGTGTGTGGATCAGAAAATAGGTTTACAGACTAAATCATCCGTTCTCCCACCTTTATCCCGACACACACAGTCACACACCCACAAACACGCATACCTCATCCCTGCCCTGCTTTATAATAATAATAACAACATCAACAATAATAATAATAATAATACTTTAACCTTCCTCACTATTCCTTTTACTCTTCATATCCTATAAAAAAAACAGTTACTCTTAAAAAGTTTATAAGAATTCTGGTCTGTGCCCTATGCTCTGTGCTCAATAATAATGTGATATCCTGAACCCCTATATACAGATCTTTTCCTGGAGACGTAGGCTTTGCTCTTTTAATTGCTCTCACCATCTCTGCTAAGGTAAATGGATCATCCAATACATTTTCAGTTTCTTCCTTCCTATTTAACTCATAAAGATGCTGACTCAATGATACTGATCTTCTCCTTCTCCCTTCTTCTGACAATTTTTCTGAACTATGTACCATTACGAATGATTTAGCCATAATCTCGGCTTTCTCCTTGTTTGAAACTGCTATTTCCTCTTCAAATGCCATAACTGGGTATTCCCACTGCCTTCTGTTTCCTCCCATCCTTTTTATCATTCCCCACACTTCTCCCACTGGTGTGGTTCTTCCTATTTCATCACAAAATTTCCTCCAGCTAGTCCTCTTTGCTTGGCATACTGTTCTTCTAACTACTGCTTGTGCCTTCTTATACTGAATAAAATGTTGCAAAGTATGTGTTCTTTTAAGTATTCTGAAAGCTTCATATCTCTAACTGCCTGATAACACTCTTCATTCCACCATGGCATCATCTTTCGACTTATCATGTTTCTCCCCTTAGGGATAGCTTCCTCTGCTGCCCTAATAATTGCAGAAGTAACCTGGTTGTTAACATCATCTATGTCACCATAGACCTCAACCCTCATCATTGCATCATCACTACATTTCTTAAAAATTTCCCAGTCAGCTTTACTAAAATTCCATTTGGGAATTCTATCCTCTGGTCCCGCTTCCAATCTCCCACCCACTGAGCATATGACAGGGTAGTGATCACTCCCCACTGTGGATGCTGTCCAGACCTCCCAATTACTATTTCCAGCCAGTGAATTAGACACTAACGTTATGTCTAATGCTGACTCAATCCCTGTTAATACATTTATTCTAGTTCCTCTACCATCATTCAAACAGACCGATTCTCTTTCATCCATCAGTTCTTCAATCACCTTACCATTTGCATCTGTATATATACTTCCCCATATTGAGCTATGGGCATTGAAATCTGCACACCAGATTACTTTTTGTCTGTAGTAGTTTACCTAGTTCCAACTTCTTACATGGGTTGTAGTAATTGATAATACTAATTGCCCCTCTCCTTTCCCACACCTCCACCACTATGTACTCTCGATCATCACCATTCCCCAGTAATCTATATGGAATTCCCATCTTAATGAAAACTGCACATCCTCCTCCACCCTCTCCATAATTTCTATCTCTCCTAACTACTGTATATCCATGTATCACATAATCCAAATTTGGTTTCAACCAGGTTTCCTGAATACACACCATATCTGGTCTCTTATCTATCTCGTTAATAAAATGTTTAAACTCCTGTCCATTGGCCAAAATGCTCCTAGCATTCCATTGAAAAAATTATTACCATTATTATTATTAACCAATCCATGATGATTCTTGACTTGACTGATTAGTAAGGGTCTCCCTCACCTCTTCCCATGTCAGTCCTACTAATCCTAGGTGATTGACTGCAGCTT